TACTGACAAAGGTCTCATGAGTTACAAATATCATCTTTCCACATAGGAATGTAAATAGTTCAACCTTAATAAGTCCCTTATGATTTCTCTTTCCTGTATACCTTTTCATGCTTCTTTTGGGTCTTGTATTTGAAAGTCAAATTTTCTATTCAACTCTGGTCTTTTCATCAGGAATGCTTGAAAGTCCTTTATTTCACTGAATGTCCATTTTTTCCTCTGAAGTATCATGCTCAGTTTTGCTGGGTAGGTGATCCTTGGTTGTAATCCTGTCTCCTTTGCCCTCCAGAATATTATATTCCAAGCCCTCCAGTCCCTTAATGTAGAAGCTGCTAAATCTTGTGTTATCCTGATTGTGTTTCCACAATGCTTGAATTGTTTCATTCTGGCTGCTTGCAATATTTTCTCCTTGACTTGGGAACTCTGGAATTTGGCTACAATATTCCTGGGAGTTTTTCTTTTGGAATCTCTTTCAGGAGGTGATCAGTGAATTCTTTCCATTTCTATTTTGCCCTCTGGTTCTAAAATATCAGGGTAGTTTTCCTTGATAATTTCCTGAAAGATGATGTCTAGATTCTTTTTTTTATCATGGCTTTCAAGTAGTCCAATAATTTTTCGATTCTTTTGGTTTTGTTTTACAATTTCTTGATTTCTCATTAAGTCATTAGCTTCCATTTGCTCCATTCTGTTTTTTAAGGTGTATTTTCTTCAGTATTTTTTGGGTCTCCTTTAGCAATTTGTTGACTCTTTTTTGTGATTTTCTTGCATCGCTCTCATTTCTCTTCCCAGTTTTTCCTCTACTTCTTTTACTTACTTCTCAAAATCCTTTTTGAGCTCTTCCATGGCCTGAGACTGATTCATATTTTTCTTGGAGGCTTTGGATGTGGGAGCTTTGACTTTGTTGTCTTCTTCTGGTTGTATGTTTTGATCTTCTTTGTTACCAAATTAAGATTTGATGGTCTGACTTTTTTTGCACAGTTTGCTCATGTTCTCAACCAATTATTTGACTTATAAACTCTTTGTTAAAGTGGAGTCTGTTTCCAGTGTGGAGAATGCACTGTTCTAAGCTTTGGGGGTTTTGTGCAGCTGTTTTTAGAGATACTTCTAGGGCCCTGTAAATTTTCAGTTCTTCCAAGGTGGTATGATCAAAGGGGAGGTGTTTACTCCTTTTCTGGCCTGTGCTCTGGTCTATGAGTGACCACAAGCACTCTTTTCTGCCTTGGAACTGTGAGGAGCATTCCCTCTCCATTGCCACCACAAGCTCCATCATTCCAAAACTCCTCCTCACCCTAGAACCACCACCCAGAACTGCAACCCAGATCCAAGCACAGGCAAAGCAAGAGAATCCTGTCTCAGCACCAGCAAAGAGATCCCTGCCATCCCCCTCTGATCAGCCACTCGATCCCTCCTCCATTTGTGGGCTGAAAGCTCTGGAGGCAGCCACCACCTTGGGGCTATGCCAGGACTGGGGCTGGACTGAGCTACTCTCTCACCATGGTCCAAGAGACCTTTCCTACTGACTTTCGAAGTTGTCTTTGGCATTTGTGGGTTGAGAAGTTTGGAAACTGCTATACCTGCCCGTGATTCAGTCCTCTGAGGCCTGCTCCAGGTTTGCTGAGGCCTAGTCTTTGTTTGCACGGCCCATACTGAAAGGCGCTCCTCTCCCAGCCTGGTGCAATAGACCTTTCTTGCTGACCTTCCAGGTTGTTTTGGGGTTTCACTCTGTCTTTTTGTGGGTTCTACTGCTCCAGAATTTGTTTAGAGCCATTTTTACAGGCTTTTGGAGGGGTTTGGGGGAGAGCTCAAGCCAGTCACTGCTTTTACTCTGCCATCGTGGCTCTAACCCCGTGCCATACATTCTAAGAAGAATCATAACAGTGTTCTGAAAGACCTTGCCATTAAAATGTTTAAGCATATATTTGGACTCATAGAATTTGCAGGGCTACAGTGTTCTCTGTGCTGCGATGCAGGGTTGTAGTGGAGTAGCCAAAGAAGCTTAAGCTCTCTTAGATACATTGTGTCCACGAAAAGGTAGGTAATAGTTCTGTTCTACTCTACTAGAGAGTACTTGATCAGATGGTGTTCATTTTGTCACCGTATTTTGGAAATCCATGGAGAAACTGTGGTATATCCAGAAGGTAGTCGAGATGATGTGAGGCCTGAAAAATCTTCTCTAGAAGAATCTTCAGAAGAGAAGACTCAGAAGGGACAGGACAGTGATCCTGAATTATCTGCAGGGCTTTCTTGGGGAAGAGGAACCCAATGTGTTCTGCTGGGCTCCAGAGGGAGCAGCACTGCGTGGAAGCTGCAAGGAGGCAGGCTTAGAGATGGCATAAAGAAAAACATCCTAATAGTTCTTAGCAGTGCAAAAGTGAGAGGGGCTATCCAGGGAGGTAAGGGAGGCTGCTTCACTGATGGTCTTCAAATAGGAAGTGGAGAACCATTTCTCAACACCCTCATGGAGGTTTAGGACTCTGGGGGTCTTTGATTCGGAGATGTCTGTGCATTAACAGGTCTCTTAGTTAAAATATTCTGGGACTTAGAGAATGACATTGTGATAGAGAAAGGCTAGAGAGAAAAAACAGACAAATAGATACAATAAAAACACTCGAAGGTGCTGTGGAAACATGGAGAGAGCGAGAGAAAGTGAAGGAGAGAGTGAAGGAGAGAGAGAGAGAAAGAGAGAGAGGAAGGGAGGGGAGAAAGAGCTTGACAAATTAGGGCTAAGCAAGAGACTGATCTAATGACAGGGCAGTTACGTGTAACAATATAATTGATGTGTCATTTCCTCCGAGAAAGATGTAGTACTCTATACTGGAGTATAACAGAACTATTACCACACATGTATAACTGTTATCAGGTGTTGTTGTGCTAGCTGTCATCCTTGTTGTTTTTTAAACCAGACCTGTGATTTCATTGGCATAGGAAAACTCCAGATGAGGAAACTCCTTCTACCAATGCCTGCTCTGAAATTCAACCATAGGGATTTGCTTAGGCACTGAGAGCTTAAGTTATTTGCCTAGGGTTAAACAACCAGTATGTATCAGAGATGGTTTTTGAGTCCAGGGCTTCCTGATTCCAAAGCCAGCTAGCTATCCACTATGCCACCTTGACTTTCAAGTTGTAGTATTTAATAATTGAAAAAATAGGTTTGAACAAACATATTCATTACCCGTGAGCCAACAGGTATCTTGCCTTTTTTTGCCCCTAGAAGTCCTGGCTGTATCTCTATTATTTAAACTTTATGAATGAAATTGTAACCTCAATAAAGCTATGTTGATGTCAAAGCCAAGAATCAATGGAATACATCCAGAAATTATATATATATAGATATATAGATATATATATAGTGTAATAAGTGTATTTCTGAAAAAGCTATATGTAAATATAACTTAAAAAATTAAACCATGTTTAAATGCACTACAGGAATTCCTCATGAAAGACACATTGTGGAATCTCATTTTGTAATGGAAATATTCCCTTTCTACTTTATTTCATCTGTGTTTATACTTTCAGATAACAAGTTGTCTTAGGAGATACTTTAAAGGCATAGAATACTTAACATAATGAATTGGTTCTTGAAAAATAATGAAGTTCAATGAAACAGCTTTTTAAGGAGTAGTCAGTGTCATAGCATCAGTGTTAAATGGCAAGTCAAGTCAACAAATATTTGTAAAGTGCATCCTATGTGTGGGGTACTGTCCTAAGCTCTAAGGATATCAAGAAAGGCAAAAATATTTCCCCCACTCCTACCTCAAAGAGCTCACAATCTAATGGGGAAAGTAACATGTAAACAAATATGTACAATCAAGATATATACAAGATAAATTGGAGATAATCTTGTTT